TAATAATTAAACACTGCATTGAAATTTACGATTGAGTTCAACCGGTAAAAAAAACAAATACGCCCACTTGAAATTGTGAATAATTGGAAATTTGTAAAATATATTCTGAGTCTTTCAATTCTTATTTAGGAAAGATTTCGTAGTTGAAAGTAGGAGGAGAAAGCCGCAGTCAATTCTTGCTGAATAAAAAAACAATACTACTGCAACAAAACTCAGCTCCATAATTTGTCCTTTGCGCTTAAAAAATCGACTGAGCAATTCGTTCATTAAAGATTCAAAGTTAGAATATTTGACTGTTGTATCTTTGAACAATTAATTTGGACATCTGTCACATTAGTTTGAGAAATGATGTGTTTCTTTCTGCCGTCAATGGATTGAAGATAATGTCTTAAAATAGATAACACCCAAAATATGTGAAACCTAAAATTAAATTGATGAAATACCATTTTAGAAAAATTATAATGGTTGTTGTCTACCTGAATTAGAAACTCTTCCCCTCTCTTCTCCCTTTTTAAAGTAAAAGATTGTCAGAAACTATTGATGTAATTCATTGTCTGAGCGCAGACAAATTTATCGAAGGGAAGCTGTGTCTCACCCTAATAAAAACACACAGTGTCAGATTAATATGAATGTTTCTTTTCCTCAACTTTTCCTTTCAATCTTTTGAAAATTTGCTGTTTACCAACAATTAGTTCCGACCAAAGTCACGTGATTATTTAAATATCACTATGACAATGATAAACAGAGCTCTTTGAATGTTAACCGACTTCATTCATTAACTAATAGAAAGATGGACAAAAGCTTACATTTCTGATTATTACGTGAATTAATTGTGGGCCTAGGTTAATTGTGTATTCAGCAAAACACGATATCTTTGATATAACATATCAAAACTTAAAAAACGAATTATCTCTGTTTAAAATGTATTTTTGAAATTATTCTCCATCTGTTAACAATTGCAAACATAATAGATAACAGACTTGTTTATAAACTATGAGTAAAATAGTTATTTTGAAGACTTTTAGCCAGTTTGCCAGGAATTGCCCAATAACAAAACAACCTTGATCTTGCAAATTAAATTCAGCTAAATATATTTTTTTTTATAATATACGATGTAGATAGAAGTTTTCCATGAAAAAAATACACGAAAGTGGGAAATTCCAGTAGAGAGATTATCTTTGATTTGTCAGAATTATTTGATCCAATAGGGTCTGAAAAATTACCATTTTGAGACTTAAATCGTCAATTTTATAGCTTTCTTTAAGTGTCTGAACTCAATATGCAAATGAGGTATGTATGTGTAACTTCTCTGTTTTCAATTATGAAATGATTATGACAATACCTGAAAGCATACTTACCTGGCAGAAGGAATTGCTACGATCGATAAGGTAGCTTCCTCAGACTGAGGCCTTTCCATTGCACTTAGGATTGGTTGACGTCTGCGATCATCTCACATTGAGATGACTCGACTGTACAATTTTTGTTAGTGGGAGATCAGCGTTCGCGCGGTCTCTTTATAAATGAAGATCATCATTTTATCCCGTCATCATTTTCCGAAAAAATTCTCTTTATACTCTTAGTAATATATTTGAATGCTTTGTGATCTTCCAGTAAAACTGTTGGATCACGTTTGACAGCAGTTAATTCAATTATTCCCATAGTTCTCACATAGGTATATCTGGAAAATAAGACAAAAGGATGAGAAGAAAAAGAATATGAGAATAAAACGAATGCTGAGAATAATCTACTCTGTCCAAAGTGAGCAATTTATCATATTTTTTTCATCTCTTTCGCAATTTAAATGAGAAAGAAATATCTTCCTTATCCTGCTTCTCTTATCCGTTCAATAGAGATGATCAGCGTTAGAAGCAATTTTTCCTTAGGTAAAACCGAAATGTTTACATAGAAATTCAATATCATAACTTCTTAACACTGCTATATATTTAAAGAATTTTTCATGAAATGTAATTACCCTCCCCGTAAACATATTATATGAATGATTTTGTCCTTTTGTCAAAGTAACACCATTTACATCTTGAAAGAAATATATATTATCTACAAAAAATGGCAGTAGTCATTTAGACAAGAAAATAATATAATATCAAAATGGGAAAACTTGGTCTGTTCTTGCAAAAATTTTGAACATTTTTCAAGATATAACTCTTCTTTTCATTAGCTTTACTAAATGGTGGCAAAATGAAGCATATTTTTGTCAAATCGACATCCATACTACATCCATATAAAATAAATGAAAATATCTCAAAATATCATAAGAGAAGTGGAATGCATGAATTGTTTTCTTTAATTTTAAAAATGAAATCAAGTACATCATTTCTAGTAAAGTTAATAGGAATTGCAATTTCCGGTCCCCTAACTGTACTTTGTTGTATTGTATATAAATATAAGTATTTCTATAGTTGCACCAGTCTAATTCTTATAAAATAGAAGTCTTTCTAATGTACCCTTATATCTAAAGTCTAAGTATTGATATATCATTATATCTAAGTGCACAGATATCCCACCCTTTCAAGACCTTGCTTCCACGAAAGGTCTGGGACTTGTCACAATGACTCTATTACCTTCTTTTGAAAATGTTGGATAGTTTTGAAGAGGTATTGCTTCTTGGTCAATTTCCATAGTTGAGTATGTTGGGATCTGTAATTCTTCTTGTTGTATACTTGGAGCTGTTGGTTTGGCTTTCCTTCTTTCTAAGTATTTCCAAATTCTTTTCCTAGTAAGTTTGCTACATCTTTTTTTATATGCAAGCCATAATATGAATGAAGTTCCAATAATAATTATTGTTGGAAATGCAATGTTAATCAGCATTTTGGTTGGAGTTTTTAGCCATGATGAAAATAAATGTTGATGTGTTGACATACTTGAGTCAATTCCTAATTCATTAGCAAAGTTGATATGTTTGTTATGCCTAATTAAAGTGTCCTGTATGTAGTCAAGAACTTGTTGGAACTGTTGGTGTTTTTTGCCAACATCATCTTTTATACCTAATTGTAGTAACTGGATGAGCCTTGCAAACTTCTAGTTTTGGTTCTTCAATTTCATTGCTGATTTTCATTCTGTTTGGAATTTACAACCATTCTTTGTATAATAGATGAAAGTTTTCCTCCCAAAAGATGTACTTTTCTGATTCCTTTCAACATCCAGAGGGTTCTTTTTTATTTTAAAAAGATATTGTGTTTGGTCACATTCTCCATATCTTATATCTTCTTTTGCTATGTGGTAAGCATGGTGTAGTATTGGATCAATTGAAAATAGAAGACTTTTATACTTGATGAAGAATTGTTTTGAACACAATCCATTTTTTGTTATGATTCCCACATCACAAATTATTTGAACAGATTTTAGTTCTGTGCCAGAGTTGAGTGTTGTTAGATCACCCAGCCAGGTGCTGTGAGTTCCTTGTGTTGAATCCAATATTGTTGGAAGTTGAGGTGCCAAAGGTGTAAGCAATGCCACCATCTTATTTCTCATTATAAACTCTTTGCATAAAAGTTGAGAAACTTGTTTAAATACAGTTTGTAAATTTTGGAAGTTTTTATCAATATTACTAAGTAAGGCAGATGTTCTAACTGCATTTTCAATGTCTAATATGTGAAATTCTGGTTTGATTTTCATCATGTTTTCCTCTGCTCTCCATTTAGGCATTTTTGGGCTGCATTGTAATAGTGTAAACTTTCAGAATAAGTGTTTTTTCTAATGGTGTTGATTGGGTTTTCAGCAACGTGTGATAATTTCTATCACCTTCTCTATACCAGTCATTATAAGTTACAATATTTTGTTTATCTGTTTCATTTGCATTTCTCAAAAATGATTTCTTCTTTCCTTCAAACTTTTCCAGTCTTGCTGCTTCAATATTTGAAATAACTTGATATTTCCTTTCTGCTGCCAGTATGTTATTTACATAGCCTAACCCTGACTCTTTGAGATCTGTTCTTAATAAATCAAATGCTTTATGTGGAACCAATACTCTTGTTCCTGGTCCACCAAATCCTCTTATATATCTGTCTTGATAAGGGAGATCCATTATTGCATAGTTAGAACATGAGAAGTATCCTCCTAGTTTAACACATTCTATGTTTTTTGCCACAACTTTCCAAGGTGAGGTATGGCCAAGGAGGTGTTGCCCTTTTGTTGGATTAAATATGATAATTGAATCAAGTGTTCTACAGAATCTATCTTTTATAGAACAGTCTTTCATATATTCCAGATTTTAGTTATTTTGTCTTGGCTAGGTTGCCAATAAGCTTTACCAATTTGCAATATTGTTGTGAGTTCTTCAATAACTGTTGTTCTTGGCCATTTGAAATATGGTCCTTTGTTTTCATCAAACACCAGAAGTTTTCCTTTCTGATTAAGTTTATGTCCATTAAGTGTTTTCTTAGAATTAAGCCTTTTTCTACATTGCTTTTCAGTCAACATAAGTGTTTGTTTTTCAATTCTGTGCTTTTTTGCTCCAAAGAAATAATATGTATAAAAGTTGATTCTTCTTTTCACCATACACTTAACTGCTTGAATTGCCAGTTTTTCAGCTTTTATTTCATAAATATATGCCATTATTTTGGTCATTTCTTGAGTTTCAAAGGTACATACTGGTTCATCAGCCAAATCATATGACTGGTGTACTTGTTGTCCCTGACAAAATTGTACTGGTGGCAGCATTCTTACAGTGATGTTTGCTCTGGTGAATGATGTGTCACCATACACAATCTAATTGAAAGTATCACTTTAGAATGTCCACCTGGATATTTCCTTTTTGGTAGAAAATGCATTTCTCATTCATATTCTACACCTGCTACATATGCCAATTCAATAGAGCAGTGCAAAGGTATACCATGGCGTGGTGAAGGTAATCTGATTTTTCCAAAATATGATGAAATTCTAAATGTATTCCTCCAAGGTTTCCTTTCAAAGTAAGTCATTTACAACTGTTTATCTCTCACTGCAAAAAATATTATTTAAATTAGAAATTCGCTAAAAACACACATGGGACTAGCTTATAAAAATGGTAAATATGCCTGGCCAGATGGAAGTACTTTACCAACAGATGAGATCATTAGGTGGGACACATCAGTAGGATCTGGTGCTTGTGGAGGTTTTCACAAATCATCTGGTTTCTGGATAAAACTATCTTGTACTTTAAACAGTATTTTAATATCATGTGAAAAAGAGGTAATATGTAAAAAATTTTGTTTTTTTGCTAATAAAATATATATTTTAAAAACAAAGCAAAAATTTCAGTACCAGTAAATGAAAAAATTGGACAGTTGTGGACAGTTATCACTGCAGCTTCATTAAGTACAACCAGCAGTAAACTAGTTTATAAAAGTGACTATAATACCAGATTTGACTGTTTAATGGCATGTAATGAAGAGATAAGGTTTACTTGTATCTCATTTGCCTTTGACACAAATACAAAGGATTGTATACTATACTCAACAAATACCTACTCAAAAAACACTTACCTGAAAAGAGATGTCGATGATGAAGATAAACTGTATTTTGAAACTATTTATCCTGGTTTGTTTAATTCATCTTTCATTTCTCGTTTATGACCCGCTCTTCCTTTTTCTCATTAATTAGGTGAATGCTTTCAAAGGCTTATTGAAGAAAGAGTTTTGGGAATAAAATGGAATGTTTCTTCAGAGTATGACTTATCAACAGATAAAAGCAAATTACCTCTACATTTGCGAAAAGGCCCTAAAGGTTATTGGAGATCTAGCAACAATGATTCAAATCTGCTAGGCCCTGTCTCTAATTGGTCAATCTATATGACTGAATTAAAATGTTGCATATCAATTTCAAATTGAAAAGAATATCTTTAAAATTAAGCCACAACACAAATGTTAGTTATGAAATTGATAGAGAAAGCATTTATTGTTTTTAGGCATAGTTCTTATGCCTATGGCTGTAAAAGCTTTCTCTCAAATCGATTTCCATTCATTATTCATAAACAAACTACTTTACTTTTAGATAATGTTGCTCTTGGCGAAACAGCTTTTCAAAAGACAACTAAAGGGGACAATAAAGCAAATCTGGCAATTGATGGCATATCACTTAGTGGTGCCACATTAGGTTATTGCGCAATAGGGGAATTTACAGATAATCCTTGGTGGGTTGTCAACTTACTAAAATCTTTTTATGTGACAGGAATAGCAGTTGTAAATAGGAGAGATTGTTGCTGTGAGTATAATACTGTATATTTTTTATAATAAAACAGTCACAATCTTGTTAAGCATTTTTTATCTTTTGAAAAAAATTGTATCAGAATTGTCCAATTTTATTTATAAGGGAGGAAGACAGTATTGTAGCTTTAATAGCTCTATTAGTCAACAATGCTGGTTGGCCAATCACCAGTCAACTTTACCAAAAACTAATTTTGGTTTTTCCATATATATTTCTGATTCAGTTAGTAACCTAAGAGCAAAATGGAGGAAAAGTGTAACTTTGGTTTCAAAATATGGACTAAACAAGGAATTACATAGTAGGATAGAAAAAAATTCATCAAAAAGGGGCGAAGTATCTTAATCAGTTTCCTCCAACTTTCCAAAATTACAATGCTTTAACAAGACATATATATGTTGTAATGTATGGGAATCGCATAGCAGCAAATATCTAGAATGGGATAACACAAATAATCAACTTTGTTCTACATTGTCAACTTTTGTAAATTGCAAACCAGATTTAGATTTATCAATATTGAAAGTAACTCTACTTTATAGAGAACAGTTTTACAGAAGCGTTGTTCAAAATCATACTTTTGCTGTTACTTTATTAAATACACATTCAAATTTTCATGATGTCATAGAATTATTTGACAAATATTTTAATTATGATATTGAAAATGTTTTAACCAGTACAATAGAAGATATTAATAGTACAAATCCTAATTGGAAGATTGCAGATCTGAAATTAAACCAAAAGCAGAAAGGCATAAAAATCGGAAAAACTTTAAATATAACAATTCAAATGTCAATTTATCTTTCAAGGTCAAGGTGTGAAGGCGATGTATACATTTGCTTTAGAATTATCATATCAAATTCAGCATCTTTTACTGAAAGTAACAGAACTAATGATATTTTATGCCTTGACCTAACCCCTTATAAAAATTGTACACCAGGTATATATAATATTCGCTGGATAATTTATATGTTTGTATCCTTTACTATCATGTCAACTCTATTTCAGCTGTTAACATTATGGCAAATTTTACTATTCTATGTTCCAGTGGAGGTTGTTTCCAGATGATCTTCCCAGGTCCTTGGGTCCGGATGGAAGCTGCATGCAGAATGAGAATAGTGAGGATTTATATACTTTGAGGTTTGCCTCTAACATCCAATCATCACTTTACAGTTGCCGAAATGTGTAGTTCATATTTATCTTTAGTAACAGGATATAACAAGGTTGAACATTTAGGAAGGTTAATTGAATTATAACTTGGCCAAACCTTTATTGATAATTAAAGATAAGCCTTCAAGCTGACTAATCAGACTTATGTTTGGCCAATGTTATAGCATTTTCTTGTGTAGGTTTTAAGATGTACATGTATAAGTTGCATAAAATAATAGAGTTCAAGCATGTAAAATATAACCAAAGTTGTACAATAATTTTTCATTTTGACATAGAACTTTTTCTCTTTCTTTGATTTATTCAAACATTTCTTGATCTTGATCTCTTTTTTAGGATTATACATATGACTAATTGTTGTTGTATCAGTTTCTCAAGTATGCTTCTCTGGACAGTCAGGATTTTCCTTAATAACAGCTGCTGAATGTGAATGTCATTTCATTAAAACATTTGAATGTTGCTACCCTACATAAAATATTCATGAAAAAGACAAATATCATTCTCTAAATTAGACATTGTTCTCTGTAGAGAAGTGAAAGCCACTGCTGTTGGTTGTATTTCTTTGGAAGAGACAGTTTCCAAAGAATCCTCTGTAATTTCTGCTTGTTTTGCTGCTTTCTTTTTCTTATTGAGTTCTTTGCGCATAGCTCTGTACCATTTCAGAAAATCATATAAATCTTTCATAATTTCATATAGTATTTTTATGGCAATATATGCTGTTGGACTTGCCTCTGTTACTGCCTGCAATATCTTTAGCATTGCTTTGTGTACACATCTCTTGACAAAATCTTCTTTATCTTCATAGATATATCACAGTCAATGATGTAATACTGATATCTCTCACACAGTCCATATGAAATTTTCCATTTCCAGACACAGAAATCCATTTGAAATTGTCCTCTTTCTGTTCATCACCCACATTAGATGCCTAAATGCATAAGTAATTCTTTATTATAATATTTCAAGATGAAATTGTAGATGTTGCCATTACTGCTTTTATGCTCAATAATTTGACCACTATAAAATTTCACTTCTCTGCCAGGTGCATTTGCTATTACTGCTGAAGCATCTCCTGGAGAACTGCTACTTAAATTGGTAAAGTAAAGAGAACAGAAGATATAATATAATATAATATAATATAATATATTTAACAGAATTGTATATTTTGGGTGAAAATGTTAATTTCTATTGTTAAGCATAACAATAGAACCAATTTTTAAACTTGGTACCTTTAAATTGTAGACATCATCTGAACACTCTAATTGTAGAAATTCAAATTTGACATTATTACCTGAACTGTCAATATCTGTTTGATAGGCAGCTGTAAGTGATGACCATGAATCAATTACAGCTTTGGTAGGTGAATCAAATGTGTCTTTTTCAATAAAAACTTTAAAAATAAAGTTATCAGAACTTCTACTAAAAGATGCTGGATTTCTATTACAGTTTGCAGCTCACACTTTGAAAGTGAATGGATAATTAGTTGCAGGATATTTGGTACCAGTTAAACCTATTGATTTGATCTGTGGATAAACTATAAAAAGTACAGATAAGTTACTGAATTTATTTAATGATTCTACATGTTATTTATAAATTGGATTGGTACCTTGACTAGACATTGAAATATAACCAGTGGTAGTAGCTACCAAACCTTTGGTGTGACCTGTTAAGAATAACTTAGTGCACACTTACACATATTCACATATAGATATTTAGACTTTAGATATAAATGAACGTTAGAATAACTTGTATTTTGTGGCAATTATAATGGTGGAACTTTAGAAAGTCTTTTATTTCGTAGAATTAGATTCTAGAACTTTAGAAAGAACTCTATTTTTGTAGGAAATAGATTCTTTGACCATATTAGATGGAGCCACTATGCAATTAACAAAGAAACAAAGAACATAGAAAAGATGCATGTCAAATTTGTTATATCTTAGGCAATACCAGATGCTACTGAAGCAGGCCTGTGCTACAGTGGCACATGTTGGCCATGTGGTGTTCATCTCATCATTGTATTCTATATTGTCATATAATAGTCTTTCATATTTTTGTTACTTGTGGATTATGAGACTGCTACATTTTGCCCTCATAATCCTTTGACCAATTGAACCCAAGCTTTGGGAAATGTATAAAAGGAAATACATTTCCCTAGCTTGTCAGTTCAATTCTTTAACTGTTAGCTGGCTGTTTAAACTTACTTGTTTAGAACCAGAAACTCATTTACTCAATACATAACCTTTGAATGAAATACTGGTGTTTTGTTGTTTAATTTCTACCAAAGTTACATTTGTTAATACTGATTGTGGACAGACTTAAAAGGTTCTATTTGTTTGAGTACTTTGGAGAATTGATAAATGATTGAAGAGGACAAATACTGTTCTGAACAAGCAGAAATTCCAAAAATTACAATAACAGTTAAAGAATTGAAAATTACAATACAACAAAGTACACTCTCTATCAGAACTTGATATATGGTACCAAAGTCCTAAAAGTACTCAATTCCTACAATTAAAATACAACAAAGTATAGTTATCAAAATTTTGAGTTTGCCACAATTAAAATTGATAAACCCTTATGAGAAATCCTATTGCTTAAATTAACTATGATATATTTTTTGAACACAATTTGATTTTTAATATGCTTGGAGTATTTATTTGAATCTTAATTTCATTGACATATATAATCTTTCAAACTTTTTTGGGAAGAATGAAAATTTTATGTTTCATCATGCATAATTTCTTGACTCTCTGGCATCTTTTAGTTGCTGGGGCAACAGCACAAAGTGCACATTGAGCTTTGCTTATACCTTTCTTGTTGCTGAAGAGCTTACTAAGGAATCTCTGTATTGAAACAATCAAGTAAATAATAGTGAACAATTGTGTTTGTATATGTCTTACCTTTGCTACTTCTTCTTCAGTTTCTTCATCAATTTCACGTTCATTTAAATCAACCAAATCATTTCCATCATCAGAGATTTGATTTTCTGCCAAATCACTGACTAACTCACTTGCGTGAGCTTGGTAAATTGCAAATACTACAAATAAGGATACAACGAAAATTTTCATTTTGAAGAGTTGGTTGGCAAACTGGATGATAGCATGGGTATTTATAGAAAAACAGTGTAATTTATGGGAATAGATTGTAAAGATTGTTACAGTAATTAACATTGTTAGTATATATCATCACTTAAAATATGTTGAGATAGGGGCAAATAAAGTGATATAGGGGAATCATTATTTATTATCAATAATTCAAAATAACCATAAATATGTTTAATTTTTTTTATTCTTTTGAGTAGAAATAAAAAAATAAAGCATGTAATTTGCAATGCAATTTGCTTTTTAGAAAAAAAATTAATGTAAGTTAAAAAACTTTTTGTTTTCATTTGCATAACTTTTGAGCACAGGTGTACAATTGTTGGTTACTATTGTAGTTTGTTGTATTGTAGCTCATGAGAATCAAATTTTTCCTCTCCAATCATTCACCAGTTTGCCAAAGTACTGTTCAGCATAGAACCTTTTAAGTTCATCTACAATTAGTCTCAATAAATGAAATTCCATGAGAAATTTACCAACAAAACAGCAGTATTTCTTTCAAAGAATGCTTATTCAGAAACTGACTTTCTAGTTCCAAAGAAGCAGGTTTTAACAACAAACTGGCTCACTTGATCATCTAAAATAGTATTGTGAAAATAATTTAAAGATATCATAGATTTTTGTGTTTTTATTTTTTTAAATATTTTTTAATATAAACTTTGAGCACATGTGTACATTTGTTACTAATTAATGTACTTTGTTGTACAGTAATTTGTACACATATGTGTGTTACAGTGAACCATACTCATACACTTAACAATGAGTATGCACACTGTTTAATGTAAATCAAAAACCTTAAACCTTAAATAAAACAGTTGATTTTATTATCTGCACTAGCTATTTGATTTGTAATTTTTTAAAGTTAGCTGTAAAATACCAAATAGAACCTTTAAAGTTTGTCCACAAGTAGTTTAACAAATGTAATTTCGGTAGATATGAAGCAACAAAACACCAGTATTTCGTCTAAAGAATATGTATTGAGTAAAATGAGTTTCTAGTTCGAAAATAGTTTCCCATAATGTGGAATGTGTAAAACTTGGAGGATATTTTTCTTGCCCCAACTATGCAATAATGGATTTACCTTACCAAGACAGATATATCAAAGGATATGGTGGTCCTGGTACAAGAGTATTGGTACCCCAGAAAGAATATGACTTACTTAGAACTGATCTTACAAATTCCAATTATGCTGACAACAAAATAATAGAGGATACAAAATACAAGATCATTTCAAATAAAGAAGTTACCAGATTGGAGAAATATGTTGGAAAGAAATCATCACTAAGAAAGGCAAATGCCACAGAAATACAAGATATTCTAACATATTATGATTGGTATAGAGGTGGTGATAAAACCTACCACATGCTGATAAAAAATCATGCAACACCATTAGTGAGGACTTGGTTTGTCAAAGAAATTATTTCTCCAGACATCTGGGATATTAACAACAAATACATTGTACAACTTTGGTTATATTTTACATGTTTGAACTCTATTATTTGATGCAACATATACATGTACATCTTAAAACCTATGCAAGAAAATGCTATAACATTGGCCAAACATAAGTCTGATTAGTCAGCTTGAAGGCTCATCTTTAATTACCAATAAAGGTTTCGCCAAGTTATAATTTAATTAACTTGCCTAGGGTGTGGCCAAGTTATAATTCAATTAACCTTCCTAAATGTTCAACCTTGTTATATCCTGTTACTAAAGATAAATATGAACTACACATTTCGGCAACTGTAAAGTGATGATTGGATGTCAGAGACAAACCTCAAAGTATATAAATCCTCATTATTCTCATTTGGCATGCAGCTTCCATCTGGACCCAAGGACCTGGGAAAATCATCTGGAAACAACCTCCACTGGAACCATCCATCTACTCCTCAACATTGGAAGACAGTTTGGTAATTTGGCAACCTGCTTTTACAAACTATCTACTCTGCTATCGAACTCTCATATTGTTACTTGCTTAAGTATTATTATTGCGAATAAACCGTTTTAATTTAAACATTTGTTTAAAGGTTCGAGTAGAACCAGTATTGTTATAACTTGCAAACGCATAGATTTTGCCAGCAAGAGCAGTACAACATACTAAAAATGCTGAAAACAACAAAGCTAAAACCTGCCAGATTAGTAAGATCACAAGAGTTTGAATTGGACAAAAAACCAGTTACTTTCAACCCACTCCCAAACATGAACATTTGGTATCAAAGCCCAAAAGATACACTTTTACAAAGAAAACCAATAAATCACAAATGGAAGAGGAAACAATTAGAAAGCATAGAGATTCCAGAATCACACCAAATAAATATAAAAGATGCTATAAGAACAGCTGCACTGTTAAACAATATTGACAAAAATTTTCAAAATTTACCAACAGTTTTTAAACAAGTTTCATAACTTTTATGCAAAGAATTTATCATGAGTAACAGGATGATAGCCCTACTTACACCACTATCACCTCAACTACCAACAATACTTGGATCTAAACATGGAACCCATAGTAGAAATTGTGATACGAAATGTTTCGATTATGCTCTTCCTTAGAATATGTGGATTTATCTTCTAATCCTAATATGGATAATAGTGGCTTTAGAGTCATTTGCAATGGTCTTATCTCTTCTAAAGCAACTTTTAAACCTTAATTCATGCAGATTGAATGGTACTCAAGCAAAATATCTAGGAGAATCATTCCAAAAATGCCTTTCTCTTGAAAATGTAGATATAAATTTCAATAAGACGATGGAAATGGGATTTAAATCAATTTGTCATGGATTGAAATCATCTTCAAACTGTTTAAAAACGATAAATGTAAGAATGTGTGATTTGAGCGAGGAGCAATCAACATCTCTTGGAGAGGCAATTTAATATTGTTCACTATTAGAAAATCTTGATTTATATGAGAATCGGATTATGGGAAATGGATTCACAATGATTTGTGATGGATTAAAGTTGTGTTCAAACAGTTTAAAAACAATTAATATTGGTTGGTGCAATTTAAATAATATTCAAGTGGAATGTCTTGGAGAAACGTTCAAGTTTTGTTCATCATTGGAAAATGTTTATTTAAATGAAAATAGTAATGTGGGAAATGGATTTAAAACAATTTGCAATGGATTCAAAACTTCCTCCTAGACTTTAAAGTCAATATCTGTCAACGGGTGTGATTTGAATGAAGAACAAACAACATCTCTTGCAGATGCACTTTCCCTTTGTCCTAAATTACACAACTTGAATTTAAATGGAAATAATAACATGGGAAATGGATTTAAAAAAATTTGTGATGGGTTGAAAAAATCTAAAATTTTGAAAAAAATGAATGTTAGAATCCTAAATTTAAATGCTGAGCAGTCAAGATATCTGTCAAATATCACTGAAGCTCTTCTTTAATAAAAAAGCTATTAGGAGAGATTATTAATTTTTTAGAGATTGATTTTTGAAAGTGAAACTAGAAAATTATATATTTTGTTTGTGTTTGTTTGTACAGTTGGGACACTTGTTTTGCAGAACATTGTGCTAACTGGAAAGTTATAACTAAGTATATTTTATGCAAATATATAAAACGCAAAAGCAACTAACACATCTCGACATTTTCAATAACAATTTAGGAAATACAAAATAAGAAACTTTAAACTATTTGCCCATCTTTTTTCTGTATTGAAGTTGCTGTGGTATTGAAAAAAATTAATCCTTCAATATTTTCAGTGTAAATACAATATATGGATAAGGTTGCCCACAACACGGATAGTTTGCCTCGTCAAGTTTTCCACTATTACCAACAATTCTGTATTTTCCAGAGTAATCGCTAAAATCAATAATTTTTTCATCAGACATGAAGTCAATATTTATGTCAAATCCATCGTAAGTCCATGACGCATATTTAAAATGGCAGTGGTATTCTTTCTTTCTACCATCCAGCGGACATCTCACCTGGTAGTATAAACTATGTGTTAAATACAAGATTACTCAAAAAAGTGGTTTACTGTTATCAGCTTTATTGGAATATAAATAACGTTTCCATCATGGTAAACTACTGATAGAGCTTTTACAAGAGTTTCTTCCTTTCTTGCCCTGTTAAGGGAGAGTAGATTATGGGAATGATTAAACAGGGATATACTCTACTGATTATATAGGACTATGTCCGGGGTCCAAATTTTATCAGTAGGTATATGTAAAGTCGTTACATTGCCGTATAGCGGTATGGACCACTGTAATCTGTAATCTCTCCACAACTGTTACGTAACATTGTGTTTTTTTCATATATTTGAGCCTATTCTGTAAGAAGATTTTGTTGAAAACATACCATTTTCTGCCAAACATTAAATGTAATTAAATCATCGTCAATGCCAACAATGTCAGTGATACTTAATCCCAAAGTAACATTGCCATATCCGGGGAACATTATATCTTTGTTATACCCACTAAATAGATCATTATGCAGTCGGGCAGTATAAGCGTATTTCCTTTAAGAGATATCATAAAAAATAAAAGTTTGAAAAGGGAAGAACAATATGGCGGATATGATAAGAATGGAGGTAAAAACTTACGATCCATAGCAAACTTGCAAAACAAGTACAGACGTGATTAATATTATCATTTTTTAAATATTATCGCTTTATACTGTTGAGAGTAAACTTAGCTCCTTTATATAAATTTTATACTGATATATTGAAATGAGATCATTACAATTACAGAATAGAGATAAATAGGAATATTAACCGATTAATTCTCTCCATTTTAAGGCTAATTTAAAAACGTTTGCACCATCATTTATCAATGATTTGCTCAGAATCTACAGGCCTATGCAAAAACATTCTCTCATTTTCATATTTTTCAATAAGAATTTCATTCATGTAAAGTGCTAGATGGCACTATATGCATTTATTTCTCTGTAATATGGTGACAAGCCACCGTTCAGAAATTTGTCAGCATCAATTTCCTAACATCAAATCACTGAGATTATTACAGAGTCATAAACATTTCGTAACAATGTTCTTTCGATAACTCTTTAATCTCTCCAAGTTGATACTCTGTTAGATAACAGCAGCTAAAGTCAATTTGTTTCAAACTTTTAGACACCTTAACAAATTGATCACAAATAAACACGAAAAATCGAGATGCTTTAAAGTATTAAATGACTGGAGAAGACCATCACAAATTTCAAATAAATCAATGCAGAGTTGTTTAGTTTGAAATCTTATTGATGACTTAGTATTAGTATTTTTTGTCTAAATTTAAAGATTCTATTAAATAACAATACTCACCTGTTGAGTGAAGAAGAAAGAGTAAGAAAACTATGATGTATATCATCATCCTTAACAACAAATGGGATTCAAGAGAATGAATTAAATGTGTAAATTGCAGTATAATTGATTAATTGCATTATTTATAAATTATGGCATTGTAGACAAAGTCTTTCAGACAGAGGGAGCCAGAGTTTGAGCCAACTCTTTTATTATTGAAACTGGTTTTCTTTATAAACTAGAATATACATTCTTTGTAAAACCAGTTGTAAAAACACAGCTAGCTTTATTAATTTTAACAGTACTGTCCTTTGTTGTAACTTAGTTGTAGAAATATTAGACTGCCTCAACAGTATTGATCCTTTCCAATCATTTATCAATTCACCAAAAGTACCCAAGTGAATAGAACCTTTCAATTTCATTGACCAATAGTCTCAATATAATATAATTTTCATAAAAACTAATCATCACTGTCAAAAGATGTCAACAGAAATGTCCATAAATGAGAAATTTGAAGGCTGGACTTTGGGTTGAAATATGTTTAGAAAGACGAATTCTTACATGGGAGGCTCTCCTCTTAGGGTTAGGTACAGCCAAGCGCTAGGTTAGGCTTAGGGTAAGTACAGACATTGTCCTATGCAAAAGTAGGTGAAGGCTGCTTATCTCTATTTTTGTAACCATACCAGTGCAATACTAGTTCAATACTACTTATCTATGGGAGAATAGAGTACAATATAACTGTTTTTCAGCTCAATTTTGACTATTTGCATTGGTGTCTGCAAAATTTTGTTCCAAAATATTTGTTACTGAATTTGTAACCTTACTAATTAAAATGTTGTATGTAATTTGATAGAAAATTCTTGGTCAACTCCCAAGTGTTATATGTACTTGAAAAATTGATTTTGAAAGCTTCAGATTTCATAAACTTTTACATGTAGGTTAGTTTTAAAAATTGAAGATAGACTAGGAAGGGTTTAGGGCTAGTTTTAATTTATTCTATGAAATATTCAAAATTTCAAAATCTCCAAGGATGAAAGCTTTTGTAATCATTGAAATACCTTTCTTTTTCAAATTTTCAGAGTTATTCAATGTTTATAAAAGCTTTTGTAATTGATTCAATATCTCTTTTTCAGTTTTGTAAGAGTTTCTTTCTATTAGTATTTTGTTCATAACTGCTGAAATAGTTATTTTGAGGGTAATCAATGTCATTTTTTAATGAAAATTTAAGTACAATATAAAAAATTTTGTCTTGTTTCATCAGTAATTTTCAGATACTCTCCACCTCTGCTAATTTGCAAACAATTTGCATATATATGAGTTTCATTACTTCATTTCTATTCAAGTTTGATGAGTGGTTCAAGGTGCGGATCTAATATTGAAAAGATATTTATTTCATTGTTCCACGTAGGGAGGTATTCACTGACACGTAGTTGAAAAGTAACGAAATTTTCTTTCATAGTTGTTTCCTGCTGCAGATATCGTCACATGTAAGTTTTTAACATAATATCCAAATCATTTCTTTATCAAATATTTTAAGTCAAGTTTGTAGCCTTAGATATATATTTCTTTTGGCTGTCATGGAAAATGTCCATGAAAACTTGCTTTTACCCAAACCATAACTAAAATTAACCCTTGGATTTGCCTAAGTATTTTCAATAGCCCTAATCCTGATTATAAATTAATGGATATCTTTTTGCTCCAATACATTTTTCAACCAAAAAACTAACCCTGAAAAAATCTGGTTTGTGAATGTTTTCCATCAAATCCTATTGTCTTTTCAATTGGTTTTATTATTTTCCATACAAAAATATTCATTTTTTAACAAATCATGTTTATTGGATTGTTATGAATCCAAGATTAGCAAACTAGAGTTAAGTTTTGCCATACAATTCAAAGTTTAACATTTTCTTAACAGAATTATTAAAGCAAAATTATTGATGAGAGAGAATAGGCTTTAATCAGTAGTTTTACTGTTTTAATGTATTGAAATTTATCAACTAAGTACACTTCAGTTAATAAAAGCTTTTTAGACAATGGTATACTTAACTCAATATTATTTGATATGAATTAACATCAAAAGCATTGTGTGCGTATATATAAATATATATATAAAGTGGACGACAGGTATGTTGGAACACCTCAAATTTTTATAGTCCAAATATTAAAAATCTTTTTCGTGATGAAAAAAGATGATTGTTTTAATTTTTTTAGTGTTTAGTAATAGGTTAAACTTGCAATTTTATATAAATTTCTGTGCCCACCCTCTCTTTCTACAACTGGTTTTACAAAGAATGTATATTCTAGTTTATAAAGAAAACCAGTTTCAATAATAAAAGAGTTGGCTCAAACTCTGGCTCCAACTGTCTGAAAGACTTTGTCTACAATGCCATAATTAATAAATAATGCAATTAATCAATTATACTGCAATTTACACATTTAATTCATTCTCTTGAATCCCATTTGTTGTTAAGGATGATGATATACATCATAGTTTTCTTACTCTTTCTTCTTCACTCAACAGGTGAGTATTGTTATTTAATAGAATCTTTGATTTGTTTTTCTTCAACTATTTGCCAAAATGCAGATGCTAGTTGCTCTTTTAATGATAATTGCTTAGCTAATGGTCAATGTATAAATGGAAGTTGCCAGTGTAACTATCCATTTAATAATGAAGTTGGCAATATGGGTAATTGGTTTAGATTATCCATTTGCTTTGATTGTTAATTAACTCTTTTGCTATCCAGGAGGTAGATACTATTACAAGGAGGGAATTTCTAGTGGAAATATTATTGAAATTCTTCCATCTCTCAATTCAATTGAGGAATGTCTAGAAAAATGCAAAAGAAAACCAGATTGTAAAGTGGACGACAGGTATGTTGGAACACCTCGAATTTTTATAGGCCAAATATTAAAAATCTTTTTCGTGATGAAAAAAGATTATTTTTATAATTTTTTTAGTGTTTAATAATAGGTTAAACTTGCAATTTTATATAAATTTCTTTAAAACAGCAGTTATGTACGTTTTTACATATTTTGTTTTTTATAGAAATTGGCATAGTTTTCTGATTTTTTTTTCTTATTTGGCCATGTGACATGTTTATTGGAACAATGTTCAATAGTTAATTTTTTGATCTATTTTTGTATATGCCCACCCTCTCTTTCTATACATTTGCTTATTCTATGGCCCATTCCCTTATATAAACTTGGCAACAAGAGGGGATTTCTGTTGATAACCTCGTAGGAGCATTTCTTAATCTTTTCCCACAGTTCATCCTCTGTCTTGAACTGTGGACCATCATAGACCATTGTCTTGGTCAGATGCCACATGTTCTCTATTGGACTCAGATCAGGGCTCCTTGCTGGCCAATCTATTGGTTTGATGTCATTGATTTTAAAGGCCCTTTTCATTTTTCTTCTTCGGACCTCCCCTATTGTCTTGTTCTGGCTGCTTGTACTTCAGTATGTTACTGACTGATGATGGTGCCATTCCTAAAACTCTTGCTGTTGCCCTTAATTTTCCTATTTTGCTAAATTTCTTAATTACCAAATCCCTTATATCTTGACTCCAAACCATAATTAAAAAAATACAATATAAATTATGTACAGTAATTTTGAATATTCAATAACTAATTAACTTAACTTAAAACAGGAAAAAAGTTGAAAAATTTTTTGTTTGAGATGTCTATTTGAATGCCAAACCAGATGTCAACTCAATGTTCCAATAAACATGTCGCGCTGCCAAACAAAGAAAAATCTTATGAAAATTATTAAAAATTTTTGCTAATAATGTTCACAAAATATTATCATTTTCTTAAATTTTTTTCAATATTATGTCAATTTAACTCTTCTTCTATATAAATTTAGACAAAAAAATACTAATTTGCAGAGGACAAACAATTTTAACCATTAATTAAAAATTGGCCTATCAAAATTTACGTTGTCCATATATACATGTCGTCCACTTTATATATATATTGTGTCTGGAGAATTCGTCCTTGCTTCCTTTTGTATGAGACACTTGAAACATTGATTTCCTCTAATGTTATCAAAATTCTTACATCTTATGAAAGAAGCTGCCCTCTTTAATATATCTGAAGTAATTACTCAGGTTGAATTGAATCACTTAAAGGGCAGAATCATTTTTAGAATTTTCAATTATGTCAAACATTGCTTTGCATTGTTGAAACCTTTAAATTTTGAACTGTTAAAGTCTTAGGAAAGTATATGAACCGTATGAATTTAACAGTTGTTATGTAAGTTTTCTAACCTCAAGCTAAGAGATGAAAGGTCAGTATATTCAATTAACATCTTTTTTGGAAAATAGTGGTGTTCCATTGAAGTTTTTGCTGACAGCTTGAACAAATATCATTTATTTGCTTACACTTGTGGACAAACTTGAGATTCTTTTTGGACTAGTACTTTGGCATGCTATCAGATGAGTGATGGAAACAATTTTAGTTGCAACAAGAATACAATTCCTACAATCAACATTGTACTTTGTTGTATCGTGATTGTAGGAATTTCATTCTTGTCCCAAACATATTTGTCTGTACCACTCATTTAATATTACGCCAAAGTACTTGTCCAAATAGAACCTCAAGTTCGTCCACAAGTATCAACAAATGAATGATATTTGTCCAAAGTTTTATAGCAAATTTTCAACAAAAAGCCAGTATTTTCCAAATAAGATATATATTGAATATTCTGAACTTTTATCTCTAAGCAAGTGGTGAGAAATTGGAACTGGTTCAAAAGTCAACAATAGTTGAGTTTGACCTTTTGATCCTCTTTAGCTGGCGGCTAAATAAATGTTCTTAAGTGATTAAAGTAGGACTAATGTAGTTCTATAGTTAATGCTAAATTCATTGCATTTGTTTGCAAGAATTTTATATGCTCATGTGAGTACCTGCATTGTGGCATATATGTATAATTTATTAGGGCAAATGTATACTGTTTATAAAAAAACAATGCTTTTTTGTATTTGGCCCTAAATCTTGCCAAGCAGTTATTTGGCTCTTTACCAATTTGTTCTTTCTAACCCTACTAATCCCCTCTACTACAAAGTCTTTCAACTGAAGCATAAAAGAGTGTAAATAAATATGGTACAGAGTACTGATTACTATCTTGAAATCAATTGAATAATTACCTATAGATGTATGCTTCCAATATAAGCATTTCAATGTGATTTTGTGGAATGGTTTGCAAAGATTGCAAATGTGCCGAGTTGGATCTTTAAAAGAGAGCTTATTAAATATAAATGTACATATAAATATGA